CTTTTTTTAAATGTCAAATGTATTAAGTTAACATACCTCCAGCAGACAATTGTGTTTGCTGCACACCTGGCTTGTCTTCTAAAATTACTACTACAAACATAAAATACAATAAACGTCAAATACATTCCAACGAATTTTTTTTAAAAAGCACTGAAAGAAAAACAGCCTGTACCTCGAAACTCTGCTGTAGAGGTTTAAAACAACCGTTTGTGTAGAAGACAATTAAAACTTCTCAGGCTCTTCACCTACTCACACAACAATTGTTCACAGCCGCTCATCAGTACAAATGAAAAGACGAGCACCTGCTGCTACTTGGGTCCCCTGGGTCCTAAAGCCGTCCCCATTACATTTACATTTGAAATGTGAAATCAAAGTCTATTGATGTAAATTTAACGATATTCTAGAAGAACAGTACAAAACTGTAAAATACACAGCAAAATACTTTTATATTAGGATTTTTTTTACAGTGTAATTCAGAAAGATAGGACGCTGAGTACCACTCTTATAGTAACCCTTTAAACTTTCACAAGTGTTTAGTTTGCAAAGGCTAAGTTCAATGCAGCCTTTTTATTTAATTTGACCAGAATTTTGGGAGAAGGAGCAGACTGAGCTGATACTAAATTTCTTAATTATTTATCAGAAAAATAACTTGACAGACGAATGGCTGGAGGATTAAGAAACAATCATTGAGTCAAGCTGTAGATCAAGAGTTATCTTACTTACTTCAGTTAAGTGTTTGCTTTGAAAATCTTCTGGCCGTGCAGTCAATAGCCAGTCAAAACCATTACTGTCAGAAAAATAAATGCATGAATTGGTGTTTGGTGTTATGGCTATATTTAGTGCACAACTTGCTATCTGTTAGGTTGTATACCTACAAAATATCCCAAGATGAGAAGAGCATAAACTCAACAATATTTGCTGTAACTTAGATGATGTCATGAGAGGGAGGAGCTGGGGAAGAGTTGGGTTACAAAGCACCTTGCAGATGTGGAGCAATTGTAGAACACAATGTAACCATAAATGTGGTGAGATCCATAAAAGGCTACCAGCTAATAGCCTTTTATCAGCTGTTCTCTGATGGCAATGAGAGCTGATATTTTTATCAGTAGAATTGTTTTCTGATTATGAAC